CGTCCACTTGTCGTTGATTAGCTACTCATTTATCTAGTAGGTGCAATCGTCAACTTGTCGTTGATTAGCTACTCATTGATATACCACGCCAACTTTCTATATGCTTCAGCTATAGCCGTACGTAATGCCAACAGTGAACTCTTTAAGTTATTAGAATCAACAAACTTTCTCCTGGTGACATACTAAAAGATATGAGCGACATGATCTAAGTACCAAAAATCACATCACAACAGTAGATGTAACTGATGTTCATAAATATTGCCTTTAATGTTCTCATGGTTAAAGCTGCAGGCTGAAAAGTGTTAGACCACCAAGAATAAGAAGGACTGTAGCAAATTATAAGTGTATCAACTTCCGCTTATTAATTGAATCTTAATGTTGAGTGCTATTTTACAATAAGCATATGCAAGTAGGGATTACGACGCCAAAGACAATTCTAACAGTAGTGCTTTTGAAGGTTTGATTTTTAACCAAAATACTTTCAGTTTTGACGGACTTTACTAGGGGAAACTCTAACGCGATTCCCGATAGAGACAATAGTATTTATTAATAATTGATGTTTATTTTAGTGCAAATTACACAAAAAGTTATCCACGCTTTGTCCACCGCGGGGGTAAAAAGCCCAAGATTTTAGCGTTTGAGATTCGTAAACTTACCGCTGATTCACCAAGGACAATAACTTATGGAAGTTCGACTTGTCGCATAAAAGGCATTTATATCTGAGTTAATTGGTAAACCTGATCATATTAAATAGCTTTAATTAATAAGAAAATCCACTAAAGCAGCTTAAAAGTTCTTTAAGAATTTTAATATCTAATCGTTTTATGTATTTTCAAAACATATTATTTGTCCCTGTCCCCCGATGGGACACACACATACTTTCTAATAGTTGGCGTGCTTATACAGCATGAAATATCTGTATATAAGACTTAATCATTAAATGCTGTAATTATAATCCCCCCCCCCCTGGGGTTACAACCTCAAACTCCGGAATTCGATTCCCTGTGGTGGCGCTTAAAGATAGTTTAATATGGATCTGAACTAAAATAAACAAACAAAAGAAAATGTAGGTATTTAATGTTTCTGAGTTTACATGTTAAAATTCACCGATAAGCTTGAGCGCTTATAATACTAAAGGTCTATACGCGGCCATCAAGTAGCTCATTATTTAGTTAAATACGAAACAAATTGCATGTTCAAAATTAGGTGATGTCATCGAACCCTTTTTATTATTTTATGTGTACACGTCTGAGATAGTTTAGAGAGAGAAAGTATCATTATAATAGATTCTAAACAATGGCCGAGTACATGTAGCTCATTGTGTAGCTTTAGGCTTAACAATAAAACAAACAAAAAGATTCTAAAACAATGGCCGAGTACATGTAGCTCACTGTGTAGCTTTAGGCTTAACAATAAAACAAACAAAAAACGATACAAGAATTCAGTGGTTCTATTTTATTATCGTATTAGGAATCTAAGAGCATAACAATGTTTATAGGTAAGTTTATTCGCGCTTCTGAGTACAAAATAAACTGTCGTCGTCAATAGCCACCTAGGGGAAAAAATCCTAAATATTCGGAACAAATTCTTGTCGTCTTTACAAGATGTACAGGAAAACCAAGAAGATTCTACGAACTGTGAGTAAGAAACTAACTATCACAGAATATAGTATACAGCGGAAAATCAAGGGTAGCCAATCTAATTCATCAAAAACATCATCCCAGTCTTAAATATTACTAGATGATATATTCTTTTTTTATATATATATTTGTAAGACCGCTTGTGTTTCTGTCGATTCCCTGCAGAATTAAAAATTGGTAGATACGAATTCATTCCTGAAAAAAAAACGGCACAAATCTAGCGAAGGAATGTAACGTTTTGGAATAACTAAGTAAATACAAAAGGAAAACTAAACTGAAAGCTACTTTACTGACTTTGGGGGAGAACGGTTAATCTTAATCGTACTTATTTCAAACGTGGAATTCATAAGATCCAAAATGTTTTGTAACAATAGGTTTTTCGTTACAGGGATCAGAATAATGTCATTAGTAAATAATTCGTGCCCTAAGAAGTCATGGTTCCTGTCATGTAAGTTTGTAAGCGTATCGAAAAAGTAGTATAAACACTCGACACAAAAGGATTTATAATCATCACGTGTTTTTTTTTTCTGTTTTAAAAAGAAATTATCTACTAAGATTTTAACTTTTGTGTAAAGATAACCTTCTTTCATAACATTATATAAGCATTTTGTAACTTATGACAAATAAAAAGGTGACATATGCATTTTTTAACTTATGATAAATAAAAATGTGACACATGCATTTCTTTATTTATGATAAATAAAAAGGCGACACATTCATTTCTTTAATTTATGATAAATAAAAAGGTGACACATGCATTTTTTTATTTATGATAAATAAAAAAGGTGACACATGTATTTCTTTATTTGTGATAAATAAAAGGTGACACATTCATTTCTTTATTTATAATAAATAAAAAAGGTGACACATTCATTTCTTTAATTTATATCTAGAATGAAGCTATGAGCAATAAAATGACTACGAAAAAGCTGTTTCACATTTATCTCTTTTAAAAGACATTACTATTCAAAGAAGTTTATGGGTTTTAACGCATAATCTCCAACATAATAAGCTGGAATCGAGATAAATACATTCAAATGTCAAGGTCAACTTGTCACGAGAAGCCAGTTTTCCTGATAAAATAATTATTTACGAAAACTTGATTGGCAAGGAAAGTGAAACTGGAATTGAGAAAATGTTTACTGTAGAATGCTGAGAGCAAAGAACTGAATCTATTGTTTTATTCTCGGACAAAATGTGCCACTTATATATATATATATATGTAGAGAGAGAGAGAGTTTCTTGTCAAGTTGCCGTTTAAAATCAGGGCTCATTGCTAAAGCAGATAAAAATATTGTTAAACAGGTTTAAGAATACAAGTTTTTTTATTTCCATAATTCTATAGTTGGGCATGGTGTCTATACCAGTGGGCCCGGCATGGCCTGGTGGTTAGGGCCATCACACCTAGATTTAAACATACGACACCGTCTTTCTTCTATAGCTGGGCATGGTATCTATACCTTAAAAAATACCTTCACTTATTATAAAGACTTAGTTTTTTTGCCTTAAAAGAACTTGCCAGTAAACGGAACGCTGTTGTTATCCGGCCAGATAAGGGTGTGGGTGTCGTCATTTTTAAACAGATCTGATTATGTATTCAAACTGGAAGACATTTTAAATGACAGAACAAAGTTTAAGCCACTCGATAACGATTGACTTAAGCTTACTCTCAAGCGTGAGGAAATGATTCACCGGATTTTAATATATTTTAAAAATTGTAAACTTATCACTGACATCACAGAACTTTATCGTACAGGTTCCCGTCCTGGTTTTACCACTCAGACCTATTCTATCTACTCTCGTTCCCCACACCTACAAATTTGCTAAATATCTTGTACGTGCATTAAGCTCACTAACTAAGAACGAATACTGTTAAAGATTCTTTTTCCTTTGCTCAAGAGATATTTAAATTTCCTAATTTCGTTATGGCCAGCTTTTATATTCATCCTTTTTTCATTAACATCCCACAGCTTCTTAAATTGGCCCTCAAGGACAATCACTTCGTTTTTAATGGTCATCTTTATGACCAGATAGACAGAGTGGCGATGGGATCACTTCTAGGTCCGACCTTTGCAAATATTTTTCTATGTTATTACGAAGGTCAGTGGCTGGATTACTGCCCCCTTTATTACAAACAGTATTATATAGAAGGTACGTTGATGATACTTTTCTACTCTTTCACAACACTGATCAAACCAAGAAGTTTTGAAATACCTAAACTCACAACATCCATGTATAAACTTTACATGTGAGATGGAAGAAAAAAATATCTTGGCTTTCATAGACATTCAGATAAACAAAATAAACAATCTCTTTGCCACATCTGTTTACTGTAATAAAACATTTACTCGTTTCGACAGTTTATTACCAGACTCGTTCAAACATAACCTTGTTCTAAATCTCCTAAACAAAGTATATAACATTCAGATAAACAAAATAAACAATCTCTTTGCCACATCTGTTTACTGTAAGAAAACATTTACTCGTTTCGACAGTTTATTACCCGACTCCTTCAAACATAACCTTGTTCTAAATCTCCTAAACAAAGTATATAACATTCAGTTCTGACTATTTCTGCCGACACTCAGAATTTTCAAAAATTCATAACATATTATAAAGTAATGGTTACCCCCTTAATTTCTTACACTATATCACACGAACATTTTTAACAAATGAAACGAAACCTACCATGAAG